GATGGTAGTCAGCATCGGCCCATGTCTGGGTCACACGGAAAGCTCCCCCTTCCTCCTAGGGTCAGGAGACAGGGAACGAGGCACCCACCAAAACTTGAGTCCATGCCCGACTGGAAACAGATTTCGTAGACTAGCCCTAAACTGACACTTTGAAACAAGGGCCATCTACCCCGACGGGACGGAGGAGCTGTCCCCAGATATCCCCAGCTGTCCGCAGCCCGGGGCCCTGCAGCTTCTCGCTCCTCCACTCGGTGAACTTGGGTGACACCACCGGGAAACAGAACCAGTTGTTCTTTGCAGATGACAATACAGACCCCCACAGAGTCCAAGAAAGTGAACCTAAGGCTGTGACAGGTGAGAAGAATCTTGGCAAAGGGAAGCCGTGCACAAGAGGAAGCAAAATCTGAGCCACACATCAGATGAATGTTTTAAAAAGTAGAGTTTCCTTCACATCAGCATAATCAGAGTGAAACACGCCGGGTAGGACGGTCCCATTCACAGTGCTACGGCAACAGGCAACCAGCACACGACCCAGAGCCCGGCCCCGGGCCTCGGCCTCTGGTGGGCTGTGAGCTGCCTGCCGGGAGGAGGCTGGATGGGAGGGTTCAAACTTTCAATCTTGGACACGTCCTAAATGCGTGCAACCCAGGAAAGCAAGACTAACAGGAGAAAAACTTGCCCACTGTGTGTCAGTGTTATTTCCCATGGATTGAAACTTTCAACGTAGAAAGTAAAACTGCAAAAGTACTAGAAGAAAGTACAGATGTGGTTTTATAAATTGAGTTGTCATTAACTGTGCCTGGGAAGGACTTTTGCAACATAACACAAGACAGGAAGCTGCCACAAAGGCAGATGTTGATGGATCTGACCACGCATAAATTAAACACATCCACACAGGGGAAAAAAAAAACAAAACACTAGCGGCATTAAAAGATAAATGACAAACAGGAGTGGGAAGCTGTTAAAGGCTAAGCCTTTGTATCTAAGAAAGAGACAAAAGCAACATAACAGCAATCAGCCCAGAGGAAACCAGCAGAGAGCATGAGCTAGCAATTCGGGGAAAAAGAAAGAAAGAAAGAAGTGTGAATGCCCCGAACGTGAAAAGCAAAAAGATTATTAATCTCACTGGTAATTAACGAAACTCAAAGCATTAAAGGTAGCTTTTTATCTCTTAGATTGGCAAAAAGAAAGAAAGAGACAGAGGGAGGGAGGGAGGAAGGAAGGAGAAAAGGAAAAAAAAGAAACATTGCTAATACCCAAAATTGGCATGTATTCAGGGAGAAAATATTTCCACACGCTCCCGGAGTGAGTACAAACTGGCCCACCCCACGGAGGAAGGTCTCCCTGTCTCTGCTCCTCCAGGCACTTCCTGCCACGCGGTCCATTCTCGTCTCCTTGTCCACTCTCAGTCTCCGCTGCCCTCCACCCGTCACCCCAGGACAGCAGAGGCTACACCCACCTGGTCACCCGTGCGTAACCAGCGCCATGGCAGCGGCTGGCTTATCCAGGGCCTTTGTCCACATCTAAGGGATCTGGCCACACACATCCAGGTATTTCACGTGGACACCCTCTGACGTGGCAGTCATTCCTAAAAACGTGTCCTAAGGAAAGTGCCAAGGGTGCGAAGACAAACACACAAACATGTTCATCGACGGACGGTTTAGGATGTTTACAGATGAGAAACACCCCCCGTCCTGCAAGAGGAAAGTAAGCAAGTGGAGAACGTTGTATCGACCCAGGGGAGCACTGCGAAACCTTGACTCCCAGCCCCGAGGATCATAAAAGTCACAGGGGCTTCCAGACAGACGGATGCCCGAGCCCCACCCCCGCCAACCCCACCCTCGCAAACTCAGCCTCGGTCTGCGGGGTGGGGCGTCGCCTGTGTTTTTAAGAGCGCTCACTGAATCTAGTGCACAGCCCAGCTTGAGAACTGCTGATGTAAATTTAGCCAACAAACGGTGCTTCAGGTCAACGAGACGTCGGCGACGTCGCTAAATGAAAGAGCGAGTTACAACAAAACAGTAGACAGAGCGGTCTGTAGATCCCACTTCTGCAAAAAGAAGAATGTGTTTCTGCAGGGCTGTGTGTGCGACCACAGTCCTACACGAAGGCTGGGGACATGTGCACCGAAGTGTTCACTGCAGACATCTCTCCGTCGCAAGTTGCAGCTACCTTGGCAGAAAGTACGGAACGTTCACAAGTGCATGTGAGTCTGGAAGCCCACCCAGCACGCTCAGGGCCGGCGCCCCAAATCCTGCAAGGCCTGCCTTGGCCCTGGTTTTCTCTGGGCGAGGCCGAACCTTCTCAGTGATTAGTTACTCCCCACGAGCAGGCCAAGGCTGCAGCCGGCTAAGATGAGCCGCGACCCTGAGATGGGCCGGTGCATCACCAGGTCACAGAGCAGCTTGGCAGGAAGGTGCTAGAAACGTCCCTCAGCCTCCTCAGCATCATGGGGACACCGAGACAGAAACGAAGGGGCCCAGCACCTCGCAGCTCCAGGGCAGAGCAGCAGAGGAAAGGCAAGTTCTTTGAACAAGTTCCGCCCCTAAAATGAGTTTCTCATGACAGTCAGAGGAGGACTGGAGTGGGAGGACGGAAGGGTTGAGGGAAGAGGACCGGGAGCCCCGCCCCTCCGTCCCGGGCGGAGGAAGAGGTGCAGAGGACGCCACGCACCAGCACCTGCCGGGGAAGGAAAATGGCTCCGGATTCCACAGGGACCACAAGCAAGGAACAGGGGACATTTAAGATCTTGTATGTCACAATTACGCTTTTTAGCTGAAATACACCTGGCACTTTGTTAAATTGCCCTCTTATTTTCTTTTCTCCTTTCCTCTGCATACCAAATTTGATATATTAATTAGGTGTTTTAACCTAGAAAATCCATCAGAAGGTCTCCCATCGCCATAGCAACAGTGCAGTTCCAGGGAATGCAGGGTCCCCAGCACAACACCAGCCTCTCCTAAGCCCGCCCTGCCGTGGGGCCGAGACAGTCACGGGGCAGCGACTTCGCTGCCTGGAAAAGACGGGGGTGCGGGGGCCGCGTCCCTTTCCGAGAGTCTTCTTCCTCCTCTCCAAGCTGCACTCGTCCCATCTAGACACATCCTGGGGACTCCCCTTGGGCAGTGCATGGCATTCTTTCTGCAAACAGGGCGCGGGAGCCCCGAGTCGTTTGTGCCCCGTCGATGACGCGACAAAGTGGGATGAAGTGGTCACCTACGCAGAGAACACCCTCAGCTGTCGGACCCGGGGCCAGTCTCGGCCTCCCAGTTTCACCGAACAAAGCCCGGTTAAGTCCCAGCGTGTGTTCCGTGTGGAGACGTGGCTACTACACCCAGTGACGAACAAGATGGTCCCGTGCTGCAGAGAACAAGCACCTGTGAGCCACCACAACGGACCTCCTCACTCAGCCCAGAACAGCCGACCCCCTGCCACCCTGCCAAGCAGAGAAGGGGGTGGCAGGATGCACAAAATAATTCTCGAATCAGATCGTCAGCACCAGACTCTGCTCTTCCTGCCTTTTTAATGACTGCTGAATTCTGAGAAATAACACAAGTGAGCAAGCAGGAATGGTCCACCGCAGAAAGCCGAAGGCAGCCCCTGCGCGACTTAGCGTCTCTGTTTCCACAGCGGCTGCCCCCCAGGGCGAGACGTAATGACCCAGAGAGGGGCAGCTCTTGGCTGACGCCAGAAGAGCGGCAACCAGATGTGTTTCTCAGAGTGTTCCCCTCCTGCAGCCAGAAACCAGACGGGACTCTGCTTCCTGGTTAGCCGTAACTCGCCCCAGCTTTCTTCACTTTGACTGTTTATGTTAAAACCAAAAACGTGTAACACAGGAAACAATCAGCACAGCAAGCTTTGGGGTCCCAAGGTTCGGAACACAATGACGGGCCACCTGGGTCATACGGGGCCTGGGTGGCTGGTCCTGAACGCCCTTCCCCTGCCGGCGACGGTCAGCAGCCCCCGCACAGCCCGACATGAGGCTGCCCGCGGCTGCCCGTGAGGAAGGCTGGTGCACAAACCGCTTTCACCACGGCTGGCCCAAGGTAGTAGTATTGTGATTTCCTATAATGCTTACATTATTTATTAAAGTAAACATCTGGGGCTCTAGAGCTGAGCTGTGCTCTGAAATTATAAAAGACCCATCACACCTCTGCGCTTGCCTACAAAAGAGAAATGCATATTTCCACTATTTTAAGAAAATGTCAAAAAAACATCAAATGTGTCATCACGGTACCATTTAGAATTATCTACACGACATCTGTAGAAAAGAGCTGTATGTTTACAAGTGAATCTATCAGAGTGCCCCAGAGGCAGACACCCGGCCTCCTTCCCTGTAGGCGCTAGCTCAAAGGTCCCGGGTGCCCAGTGGGGCCCCAGGAGGAATGCCTGCACCTGGGCTGCCTGTCACCTGTCACCTGGCCTTCCTTCCCGGCTTCCCCCCGCACCCACCTCTGTGTGATCGCTCAAGAGACCCCGTCCCCTGGGCGGGCAGCTCCACTTGCAGGACTTCACCGCCAACTAGTTCCCCAGAGCGCAGGTCTCGGCCCACGGGGGAGGCCGGGTCTCCGCCACACCTCCCAGTGCAAAGAGGGGCCAAGGTCCCCCGCGCCACCTGTGGGGCAGGCACCCCGTTTCACAAACTCACCACAGGTGAGCGCCTCCTGGATTTGCAAAGTGACAGCTGAGCCCGCACGTCGCCCCCAAACGGGTAAATGGAGCACAAAGCCTGGGCTGCAGTGGGCGGAGTCACGCCTAAGCCCAGAGCGGCCACCAAGGACCCTCGCCCCGCAGGACCCGGCCGAGCCCGCGGCGCCGCCGCTGGAGACCAGGACGCGAGGGGGCTCCGCGGACGCGCGTGGACCGCAGCCGCCCCCCGCGAGTTTCCCGAGAAACCGGGGCGCCCCGGGATGCGGTCCCACCCGCGTGGCCGCGCTGTCCGGACGCGAGAAAACGCCACCGCCGCGTGCACCCCTGCGCGAGCGCGCGGGCCCCGCACTCACCGTCCTCCTTGTCGTCAAACACCGGCCTCCGCGCCGTGGCCGCCGACATGGACGAGCCCATCCTCTTCTTCCACTTGCTCCACTGGAACAGGGGGCGCGGCTGCGTGCGGGCATCGCCCGCGTCCCGGGCCCGGGGCTGGCCGGCGGCGGGCGGAGGCAGGGCCGGGGGGGCTTCGGGGCCGGCGGGGCGCCCGC